TACTCATTGCCACAAAAATGCTAAATGTTGACACATATGTAGGGGAGGATGCAAATTTGGGCGAGATAGGGATAGGTGCAGCGAGGAACCATTTTTGTAGTACACAGTGTAGTATCCTCATTTACTGTGGGAAACCTCCAGTCAAATTTTACCATGCTCTAAACTGATTACGCCCCTAATGTGCAGTTTAATTACTACGGAAGGAATTTGGAAAGGACTGTTAATAGAGCAATTTCACTCATCAACGTTGCAGACACTGTGAGTCATAACAGTATTCACAGTATGTGTGTAATGTCTGTTAATCTGGGATTCCATTTTGAAAGTTCTATAGGAATAGCTTCAACCTTAGAGTGGTTGGGCTACGAGCAGAAACCTGGACAAGCGGTGATCGCTATGGTGCATTTAGCTCAGGACCTGCCACGACTTTGCAGCAGTTGAGAAATTATGCCAGAACAGTGACACAGCGTTACGATGCTCTGATGCTCATCACGTAAGGAGATGAACGATAAACCATTTGCAGAGCTGCCAAGTGCTATGCATGTGTTAGTTACAACAAAATATAGTCAGTGGGTGCCTTGGTAAAATTATGCAACAGTACACAAGCTTGGCAGCTCTGCTTTGGATGGTATTGTTAAGATTCCCATGTAATATACGTACGTATGCTTCGGAAATTATATCCTTATCGCTCTGATTGACAGGGGAAACGATTTTTCTGGAAACACAATCGGCATTGCCTATCTCAATACTATGTGTGGTTCGGCGTCATCGGCATTGTCCAGGATAGACACAGAGCGCACTCTGGGCTACTGGGAGTACATTTGCACACGAGATGGGCCATCTTTTTTGGAATGGATCATGACTCTGGTGAGCATCCCTACACAGTCTAGTGAGCCTTGGCTCAATCGACAATATGTCAGTACGTGTGACTAACTCTGGATGTGAGGTTAACGCTGGGACCAGCCAGAAACTCTATCAAGAGGGAGATGTACTGCCTAGTGCTTTTGTGGTGGTAGTAAAATTTGTCTGCATTGGCTGAACTCTTCCTTGGTTTTTGCAATGGCAAAAATAATCTGTTTGTCTCCCACATCTGAAGCTATCCCCATATGCCTTATCGCAGACATCAACCAAATGAACTCATCCATTTCTAATAGGTGCCTGTCTTGTCCAGCAGTCGCGGCATATGGCAGCAAGCATCAACACTTTAAACCCACCGCAACGATGGAGCACCTGCAGCGTAGCACATACAACAGTGTGTCTCAGAAACGTTCAACAATCTGGCCAGGTGCCTCCACACGTGCCGTCCGACTCCTCAGGTGACCCCGTGTGCGGCGATGGGATTCAGGAGGAGGGAGAAGTGTTTTGATGTGTGGCTCTCCTCAAGTTAGTATGCAGCTATCTACCACCCGTCTCCACCGTTATGTTTCATTCTGTGTATAATTATCTGCACACATTCTCCTTAAAAACATAGCCACCCAAACATATAATAGTTCCAACAATGTATTACTGGTCATGTAACCCTCGGCACGCATGCGCAGCGAGGGTTACTGTAGTTGGTCTTGTCTGTCTGTCTGTCTGTCTGTCTGTCTGTCCATGCTCCAACTTACTTCTCGATGGTTTATTCGTCCCACAAACGATACGACATAATAAACGGGTAATAAGAATCAGTTTAATCGAACTGTTTTCTCTGAAAATGCTCCGTTGCAGAGATCTGAGCGTTACCAGCATAGTACGCGTACATTCCGCCAGCCATTTTTTACTCGCGGAAAACGTGCATGCGCATTATATTACGACCACGTGGCCGTCCGGAAGAGAAAGACGTCTCCGTGTGTGCCGTGAGTTACGATTTCCCCTGGCTATCATGCCTCCAAGCAAGGTTGCCACAATGTCAAGCTAGTGTACACTAAAGCTAAAACTGTGTAAAATGTTGCCCCAACATGTGGTTCCGAAGTAAGAGAAAGCAGAATATGGTTTTGCTGACCAAGCCACGAAACGCATGAGAGTGTCCAAGGCCACTAAAAGAGCGTCAAAAGCTGCTGGAATAGTAAGTGTGAAAGTGACTTCGCCGAGGGTTTGCACTTTAGCGCTTTTCATTAACACTGTTGGAATCAACTATTATACTACTAGAATATCAACTATTATTACTATTAATGTGTATTTATTAGTGATAAACAATGTTCCAAGCTAAGTGATCTCTACTTAGTTGTTACATAAAAATTCCCCTATAGTCTATAAACATAGTGTAGTGATGAATCGCGATACTATTTAAAATACTCTGTGGATTGGTGTTCCAGGAGTGCACTCGATCCCATGCTGTGTGCCACGACCATGCAGACTGGTAGCAGGGGCTCAGTGTCACAAAGGGAGTGCTGCAACAGCCAGAGTGTGTCGCTTCAAGGCTTCTTGCGTCGTCGATGTGCCAGACCTTCAGTCAGGCAGTCGGTGTGACATTGCGGACTACTGTACCGCCTGTCTTCTGAGGGCTGCCCGCTGATGTTATGCCAGGATGGTACGCACTGGTGCATAATGACCAGTGGTGTGGACTGCTGTCTGCCCGGTAGGCCTTCCAACAGACAGTGCCAGAGACATTCTGCGACAAGTACGCCACAGCGTGATAGTCGTCAGTCCATTGTCCATTGAGCAGTGGTTTGTCGACTATCATTATGGTCTACGATGCTCCACTCCTGTCCAGCTGACGGGGAGCACGATAACTGCTTCGCTTCACCAGTGACGGTAGCCATTTTGGAACCTGTGGCTCTGACGGAACTTCGTATATTTCATGTCGACCTCAGTAGTATGGGCAATGTATCCAGGGTTAGTGATGTCCACCTTTTATTCAGGGACGTAATGTGTGGGCAGCTCTTCTGTGAAACAGGTGGACGGTATCAGAACCTGGTCACATCTGTCTTTGTATTACGAGTGGAGGCTTTTGATTCGAACCGACGGAGTGTGTATTGCAAGTGAATTTCTATGCATGTGGATATAGCGCCCTTTGTAAGACGCACATCTGAAAACTCTGCAGTGCTTTCACAACTTACGTGGATGCGGATATTGTGAGCCCCGGGCTAGTGGAAGATGGAGTCAAGTGTGGGAGAAACAAATGGTGCTATGAGCAGCAGTGTCGCGACTTTTCAGTCACACCATGCCCCAGAGGGCCCAATGCGGAAATCTGCTCTGGCAATGGAGTAAGTGTGTCCCTCTAGATCCATAGAGGTGTTTAGCTAAATTTGGATCTCCTCCTGCTGTGTTCAGAAATGCAACAACGATAACCAATGTACCTGTCTAAATGGTTTCTCGGGCTCAACCTGCGAGATCAGACCAAGTTTGTTCACACTCTTATCGTTTTTTCCAGTAAACATTTTTGGTGCTCTTACTATACTTGCAGTAATCAACGAGTGTGCACTGGGTATACACAACTGTGAACATGTGTGCATCGATACACTAGAAGCATTCGTATGCGCCTGCTATTTCGGCTACATACTCGAATCTGATGGTCATTCCTGCACGCTTGACTGTGGAGGCCGACTAACTGCAGTCTCTGGGAGCTTTCAGACCCCAGGCTGGCCTATTGCCTACCCATCAGAAAACTTTCGGTGTGAATGGATCATTGATGTCTCTGGTGCTGGAAGTATAGAATTCACCATGGACCAGACTGCATTTGGTATCCTTGGAAATCCCTTGTCATCATGCCCGACTGATTACCTCCAGTTCTTTGATGGGACTAGCAGTAACTCCAACTCCCTCGAGAAGATATGTGGTGTTCACTCTCACTATGGAGGAACCCTCCCTGTCATTTCCACCACATCTTCATCAGCAAGAGTTGTGTTCACTGGAAGCAATCTACGACGTCCGCTCAGTAGAGTTGGTGTGAAAGTCAACTACCTAGCAGGAGGTAAGCCTCTGCACTATCTACCTATAAACTACAAATGCAGAGGTGTGGAAGCCTGTTTGCTTTAAGGGCCCTCATGGATGGTACCTCAGGCACTCTGTTCATCAGATGCAGATATTTTTAGGGGGCTAAAACCTACATTTTTTTAATGGTCCCACCACCTCTGAATGTGCTCTCTTTCTCTCTTTGTGTAGAGAATGAGTGTCGCGAGAATAATGGAGGGTGTGATCACATATGCGTGAACACAGTCAGCTCATTTGAGTGTCAGTGTCGCAGTGGGTATGAGCTTCAGGGTAATGGAAGAAATTGTACAGGTGGGATTTCTTGCATGCTCTGGTCCAAGAGCGTGTTTATGGGTATATTTGCTCTATACTACTTCTAGAGATTAATGAATGTGCCACACAAAACGGAGGATGTGAACACACGTGTGTCAATACTGATGGTTCATTTGAGTGCCAGTGTAGAAGTGGCTTCCATCTTTCCAGTGATGGATCATTGTGTCCTGGTTTGTTCATTACCCTACTATAGAGAGTATCTTAAACCCTTTCATGTGTGTATGTGTAGATATTGATGAATGCTCCATGGGTAGCCATGACTGTGAGCAGGTCTGCACTAATACTGAGGGCTCATTCACCTGTTCCTGTAGCAGTGAATTTGATCTCTCCAGCAATGGAAGAACATGCAACGGTCTGTGAAATTTCCAAGTATAGGTGTCATTGCCTGTACTGTAAAGGACCTGAGTGAAAGCCTACTTCATTTGTATTACTATGGATTACAGATATTGATGAGTGTGGGGTCAATAACGGTGGTTGTCAGCATGAATGTATCAATAGGAGAGGGTCCTTTTCTTGCCAGTGTCCAGTTGGCTTCCAACTCTCAAACAACAGGAGATCATGCAATGGTGTGTAGGTGACACTTATTGGTGTCTATCTCTAGTGTTGTAAACCAGATGTATGGGCCTTAATTATGCTATATATTTTCCTATTTCGCTTACAGATATAGATGAGTGTGCAAGTACAGGGTCTAGTGGATGCGATCATGTGTGTACCAACACTAATGGTTCATACACCTGTGGATGCAATAATGGATATATGCTACAACCTGATGGACACTCGTGTCAATGTGGAGATCGACTGATTGCAGCCAGCGGCAGTTTCCAGACTGAAGGATGGCCAAACTCCTACGGACAAGAAGACTTTCAGTGTGAATGGATCATTAATCTACCAAACAACGCTGCCACCATTCAGTTTACGATTGACGATTCCGCATTTGGTATCAATGGAAGGAGTCCGTGTGGAAGAGACCACATACAGTTCTTTGATGGAAGTGGTGGGAATGCAGACATTCTTGAGAAGATTTGTGGCCTTGCTAAATTCTACAGTGGAGGTCTTCCAGTTTTAACTACTACCACTTCAGAGGCGAGAGTGGTTTTCACTGGAAGTAGAGTCGTGCGTCCTAGCAGTAGAGTTGGTGTCCGAGTGCACTACATTACTATACCATCACCAGGTAATTGACATGGGGCTAATGTAACATTTAGTGGAGGGGACTCTAAAAGTTTTTAACATGTTTACCTCAGATAAACACATGCTATAAAACTTAGCCTTGGTATTATAGCCCCCTATTTTAGCTACCTGCCATATAAGGGATGCATTTTGAGCCTCTCTCTCTACATTCGTCTTTGTCTTTTGTCAGCATACACTGTTCCTATGATAATGGAGGATGTGACATATCTGCAATGATAGTTCGGGTATCATAGAGTGGCAGTGCCAACATGGTATGATCTCATTCGGGTCGGGGATCCTAGCTGTATAGGTGGTCTGTCTTCCTGTTATTGTGGCCAATATTCACCACTTGTGATCGTGTTGATTTAGATCTGAAATGAGTGTGAGAGTGCTCTCACCGCTTTTGGTTGTGATCAGGTCTGCACGCAACACTGAAGGGTCTGTACACCTGTGGTTCTTGTCACAGAGGACTGAGTTGAGGTTCGATGGAGAATCATGCCTAAGGTCAGCGAGTACTTTTGTTTTCATGTGCAATAGCTTATATCAGTTTGCCAAAATAAATGTGTTCTCTCTGTAGATATCAACGAATGCAGTGTGGATGGATGTGCTGTGAGCCACGAGTGCATAATCGAGATGGCTCTTTTGAATGTCGCTGCAGACGTGGCTACCGACTCACAGATGAAAGAGAGTGCATTGGTCAGAATTAAGCGAGGCTTCCTTCCTCTAGTAGCTGATTTTAGCTGCGCTCTACCATCACATGCCCATTCCTCTAGCATACAGATTGACGAATGGCTTAGAGGGCACGCACGCTGTGATCACAAGTCTGCACCATACTGAAAAAAGGGTCCTACACCTGTTATTGTCGCAGGCGCGGATTTGATGTTTGGATCAGATGGAGAATCATGCATTGGTATTTCTATATTATCAGTTCCTGCTCAGTCATTTTTGCTGCAGATATAACGATGTCTTGTGGTGATATGGAAGTTGGCGATCACGAGTGCTGATCAAGTTGGTGTCCTTGAATGTCGATGCAGAAATGGAGCTACAGACTTGCAAAGTGAGGAGATGGGTGTTGGGTTAGCTTATGACACTGACTTTACATGCTCTCTACTTAAGGGGCCCCACGATCATATGTCCTGTATGTTCGCAGATATAAATGATGTTCTGATGGTACCCACACACGGTGATGGTGACTGTACTAATACTGATGGTTCTTACACCATGTTCAAGACGTGATGACGGATTAGTTGCTTCAAGCAAGGGACCTGATGGCACTCACGTCGTTGTGGAGGGTCTACTGCCTGCTGCTAGTGGCAGTTTTCCCACTGAAGGATGGCTCCCAGAGCCTACAGACCAGGAACTTCCAATGTGACTGGATCATTCAACTACGCACACAGGATGTCCACATCCAGTTCAGCCATGACCAGACTGCATTTGTATCATGGAAATCCTTCGGCATCGGCCCACTGATTACATTCAGTTCTTGATGGGACTACAGTAACTCCACTCCCTCGCGGAAGATATGTGGTGTTCACTCTCACGATGACGGACCTCGCCTGTCATTTCCACCGACCTCTCATCAGCCAGAGTTGTGTTCACTGAAGCCATATACGACGACGTCCGCTCAGTACGGTTGTGTAAGGTGGACCTATGTCTCATTGTACCAAGAGGTATGGTACTCTATGTGTGTTTCCTTTTGCAGACACTTTACGTGTTTTCCGTTATCTCTTAGTGTACAACTGCTCAGTAGAGAATGGAGATGTGACCATATCTGTGTTAGTAGATCTGAAGGTAGAATGTCAATGTCCGAGATGGCTATGGTCTCATTGGTAGCTCCACCTGTTCTGGTATGTTGGCCTCATAATACTGCGACTACTCAGATATGGAGAGTAAATATGTGTGTTGCTCATTATTATCAAAACTGAGTGTGAGGTGGCTCTCACCACTGTGATCAGGTGGGTGACAGGGGCAGGAGGAGGGTAGCAGAGGGCTCATCGAGCAGCTGTCGGATCGAGAGTCTGCACCAACACTGAAGGGTCTCCACCTGTCTGTGTCACAGAGGACTGAGTTCGGTTCAGAGGGAGAAACATGCATTGGGTAATATGGGTGGTTTTATCATGTGCAATAGCATTATACAGTTTGCACATATATAATGTGTTTCTCTAGTATATCAACGTAATGCAGTGTGGAAAATGGTGAGATGTGACCACCAGTGCATATCGAGATGGCTAGCTCAGGTTTGAATGTCGATGCAGAAGTGGTTACCAACTCACAAATGAAAGAGAATGCATTGGTCAGATTAAGTGCTAGGCTCCTTCTATTTTAGTTGCACAGCTACCATCACAATTCCTCTATCGATTACCGATATTGAGATGCTTTAGAGGCTGCACACTGTGGATCAAGTGCTGCACCGATCTGAAGGTGTGTCCTACACCTTTTTATTGTCGCATGCGGTTTGAGTTTGGAATCAGATGGAGAATCATGCATTGGTAGTCCTATATTTCGTTTATCAGTTCTGCTCAGTCAATTTTTTTGGCTGGTTCAGATTTTAACGATTGGCTTGTTTGATATGAAGTTGGCGATCACGAGTGCTGTGTGAATCAAGTTGGTTTCTTTGAATTTGTCGATGCAGAAATGGTCTACGAGACTTGCAATGGGTAGAGTTGTGTTGGTTATCTTATGACACTGAACTTTTACATCCTCTACTTAAAGCCACAATTCTTGTCTTATGTTGACCGATATGAATGAGTGTTGTCTGAGGGTACCCACAACTGTGCTGGTGGACTGTACTAATGCCAGCTGATGGTTCTTATACAGTTCATGTAATGACGGTTATTGCTGCAACCTGTGGACACTCGTGTCGATGATGGGAGGCTATACTGACTGCTGCTAGTGGCAGTTTTTCCAACCCTGAAGGATGGCCGCAGGCCTACATACCAGTGGAACTTCCAATGTGAATGGATCATTCAACTACCAATCTAAGATGCCACCATCCAGTTCAACCTGAACAGACCCTGCATTTGGTATCATGGAAATCCTTCGGCATCGTGCCCCACTGACTTCATTTCAGTTCTTTGATGGGACTGCATAATTTCCAACTCCCTCGAGAAGATAGTGGGTGTTCACTCTCACTATGGAGGAACCTCCCGTCATTTCCCCCACATATCTTCATCAGCCACAGAGTTGTGTTCCACTGGAAGCAATTAAACGACGTCCGCTCATATAGTTGGTTGTAAGGTGTGGACTAATGTCTCAATTGTACCAATAGGTATGTAGCTATGTGTGTTTCCTTTGCAACACTTTAACGTGTTTCCGTTATCCTCTTAGTGACAACTGCTCAGTAGAGAATTGAGGATGTACCATACTGTGTTAGTAGAATCGGAAGGAGTAGCGATGTCATTCCGAGATTGCTATGGTCTCATTGGGGTAGATCCACCTGGTTCTGGTAATGTGTTGCCTCATAAATACGTGCGACTGACTCAGATACTACATGAGTATGTGTGTTTTCTTAATTAGATCGAAATGAGGTGATGTCTTCTCACGGCTGTGATCAGTCTGCCCAATACTGAAGGGTCCTACACTCTGTGCTTGTCAGCAGCGGACTTGAGTTTAGGTTGGCGATGGAGAATCATGCATGGGTATGCCTTAGTACTATGTCCTATGTTCATAATATATACCAATGACGTAAAGTGTGTTTCCTCGCTCTGTAGTATATGCAATGAATGCAGCTGTGGAGAATGGAGGATGCATATGAGTGTGTAATCAGAAGCTCATTTGATGTAGATGTAGAGAGTGTTACCAGCACCGTTCTGACAAATGTGATGAGAAGTGCATTGGTCATAATCTGTATACTAACTTGAACTTCTATCTAATTATGGGTTTTTTGCATCCTAGAATTGACGAATGCGCTGAGGGTTGACCCACAACTGTGATAGTGACTGTACTATACTGATGGTTCGTACACTTGTTCATGTATAACGGATTATTGCTGCAACCTGATGGACACTCGTGTCGATGTGGAGGTATACTGACTGCAGCTAGTGGCAGTTTTCAGACAGATGGATGGCCCACTTCCTACAGAACAAGAGAACTTCCAGTGTGAATGGATCATCAACTACCAAACGTGATGCCACCATCCAGTTCAATATGACCAGTCTGCATTTGGTACCCTTGAACACCACCATGCCAACAAGGATTACATCCAGTCTCTTTGATGGAACTGATAGTGGTGCGGCATCACTTAGAAAATCTGTGGACTTCTTAATTCTACGGGGAGCATACCTCTATCTATCAACACCACTTCTTCAACACCAGGGTGGTTTTCACTGGGACTCGCTTCCAACACGACCACTATCGAGAGTTGGAGTAGGTTGATTACGTCACTATACCTCCACCAGGTATAAAACAATCAAATGTAACTTTGCTAAATGCATGGGCATTTCACTAAAAGAGTAGATATTGTATTTGTGTTGCATTTTAAAGTGATGCAGATATTTCACTTTAGCAAGGAAGGGTCCACATTTTCAGTAGCTTTTAATAGCCCGTATTTAAGCCACTGTTTCAATTTAATTTTAGATGTTATGAGTGTGCACTTGGTACACACAATTGCGAGCAACTCTGTGAAAATACGCCTGGCTCATTTATCTGCTCCTGTCGCAATGGCTACTCTCTGTCAATGACGAAGGACTTGCAATGGTAGGCAGCTAATACCGTATCTAGATAATGAGTATTATATTGTTTGCTGTAATCAATTCAGACATTGATGAGTGGTCTGGGTATAGTCACGGATGTGATCAAGTTTGCACAACACTAATGGGTCCTATGCCTGCTCATGTGTCGATCGGTTTCACACTGCAAAGTGATATGCAGACATGCATATCCGATCCAACCCCACCACCTGAGCTTTCAACAATGCATCCCAAAGTTGTCACTCCCTCGACATCTGTGACGAATATAAGTCCATCTGGCACCGAAACGATAACTCCCACAACACAATCAGTTTCCGAGATAAAGTCAACTCTTACGGAACTTTTAATGACCGAAACAACCGTGACGGCTACATCGCCTATACTTGCTGGTACGCCAACACCTTTACTTCCAAAAACTCCCACAAACATTTCACTAGCACCAACGGTGCTCTCGAAGCCTGCACCAACTTCAACAGAACTTTTAGTGACCAAGACAACTGTGACGACTTCATCGCCTTTACTTGCTGGTACGCCAACACCTTTACTTCCAAAAACTCCCACAAACATTTCACTAGCACCAACGGTGCTCTCAAAGCCTGCACCAACTTCAACTCCTGTCCCAACAGAGGATAAATTATGTGGCGGTCTTCTCACACAGCCGAATGGTACCTTTCACACGCCAGGATGGCCACACAACTACCCATCCAAGGACTTCCAGTGTGAGTGGAGAGTTGAGGTCGCTTCTCCGGGATCGGTGATCGAATTTCGTATAGATGAAACAGACTATGGTATTAATGGGAGAAGTCCCTGCAGTACAGACAGTCTAGAATTCTTTGATGGACTTGAGCGCAGTGCACCATCGCTGAGTAAAGTTTGTGAGTTTATGAATCTGGGTCCAATCAGGACGACATCACATCGAGGACTGGTTGTGTTCACGGGTACTGTAAATGACGATCGTCCTGCAAGCAGAGTAGGCGTGAGGGTTGAGTACACAACAAGAAGGCCGTAACTAAGCTGGTGAAGCTGGAGCAAGCAAGATCCGAGTTTTTGGTCATCAATGACACTGTCATCTATACTTATTGTGTCAAGAATATATTATTATAGTCACGTATTTTTATACTCAAACATTATTTTTTGCAATCGAGACTGTATTGTATGTGCTTGGAAAAACAGGAAGTTCATGGACTTGATAAAATTTACCCCAGCCGTTTGCATGACCCCAAGCACTTAGCCACATATTATTTTCCTATTAGTCCACTTATGGATACTTGGCAGGCAAGACAAAAAGCTCAAATTTTCATGACATAAATATGTTGACCTTAGGTGCACACATGATGCAATGTATAATGCCAGTACATTGTTTTATATATACCGGAAATAGATTGGCGAGTCACATCGATCCCAGCTAATTAGCAATGTTGTATTTTATTTGGTGCGGTGGATATCATGTTTGTTTCCTAAATTGCCAAATAACATGTCTCAGTCCAAGACCACTTAGAATAGTTGCTGTATCTTGAGATACACAAAATCCAGTCAACACAGCAGTATTACAATAACTTGAACGTGGAGTTCATGACAAAAATCCATCAGCGCAAATGACCAATGACCTATCAGGGCCAACAAGGCTAGACCCATGTTGGATGTCAGACCATTAAGAAAGTCCCATACAGTATTTACACCCTATCAGCCTCAGACACATACTTACAGCTTCGGGAAGAATGCAAGCATTTGGCCGGCACTATTTGGTCTGAATACCACCAGCTACTGCACCCAATCCCTCCATAAAATAATCTCTCCATTCATAGCAAGGAAGACAGGCACACCCATCATGAGAGACGTTACAGTAGTATAATACCCTTATATATACAGGCACCCATCAAACAATGTAGAATGCTTATTAATGACAAAGACCACAACCTAAATATCGAGGTCCTAAAATGCTCAAGGCAAGACTGCAAGGTCTAGAAAGCTAGATAGGTGGAGGTAGCTATGTTCACTTATATGGACAACTTGGACCAATTTAGCTGCACAGTCATGCTTAAGGTGGGGGGATAGGTTTTGGCCAGTGACTGGAACATGGTGGTGATGGGTTTAAAAACTCAAAGCTCGGAGCAATGGAGCTGCGTTGTAATGCCTTAAGCACCAAGTGGGGGGGATGTGTTTTGCCAGTTTGGTTGTTTGTATAAACACTCAAATCTTGGACCAAATGTAGCTGCATTGTGTAATGCCCGAATTACTGCAGCATATGCAGCAGAGGATGTGTTTTGGCCAGTTGATTCGTTAGTACTCAAAGCTCTCCAACTCGGCATAGCTATGTATGTCATGATCACCTTACACAGAGGCCGACCCTAGAATGATTTGTAATACGTACTTGGGTTTGAATGTATGACTGGGTTGGGAGTACGGCTATGCAACTACTTACCTGGTGGAGCACCAGATGTCCTGCAGAGGAGGAGCACATGTAGCTCACCTTCAGTCCGACCTACCTTGTGGAAATTCCGTGATTTTGTATAGCTTTGTTATTAATGTGACTATTTCAGCTTACAGCTGTGCCAGCTGATCTAATCCCTGGATGTGGCAGAGGTCTTCCAAAGCTGTTTTAAGAAAAAACAAAACATGTTGTCGGCAACACCCAGCTCATTTCATTAGGCCCATCAAGCCATTAGCCGTGTTTGTATTTGCCTTAATAAATCATGTCCTGTATTGACAGCAGAACTGGGTACAGTATAGCTCCTACTGTCTCTGGGTGTTGCCCAGTGTGCATTTTCTGCAGACATTTGGGGAGCTCTAATTGGGGAATAGCACTGTTTTGGCTGGTTGTGTTTTCTCTTTGTTTTACCCAGTGGAAGGGAGACAGGATTCTCTTTGGCCGACTATCCCACATCTTCGACCATTGTTGGTGAGATACCATAGTGCAAAAACCTTGCACCCCAGGTAGTCCATAGACTAATGCACTCAGGAAGCATGAGTCACTCGGACTTGTAACTCGCAAGGGTTCTAATGTCATTAAACGTGCATGTACACACTCCCATTGCAAGACATGCTTGTTTGTGCTGTGGTTCTATGGCATGTCCAGACTGATTCGCTTTGGCCAGATGGTCTTGGCAGCTGATTCCTTACTAATTCTACCAACAAACTTAGATCATCCTCTGTGTGTACTCAGTAAACCCTTTATAGACTGCTCATTGGATGTATATGCTCCCTCACTCACCTGTGCACCGACAAGCCGACTCTCCCCTCTGTAGCAATAGCTAAACCCTCTCATCATGGTGGCAAATCTAAACTGCTACTGAATACATGCTGAACCTCCAAATCAACATCAATGTGATCCTTTCATAAATTTTGCCTCTCTATAATACAAGAGCAATGTAGCAAGGTCTTTGCCTAGACTGCAGGCATGCCGTGGGTTCAAATCCCACCCAAGGCAGCTGTACATAGAAGCCTTGTGCACTCTCCTTGTCACTCTTTCCCTGAAAAATAAGTACGGATACCACAACAAGATTATAGGTTAGTGGTAGTGTGGCACCCACACTCAGTATGTCACATTTCAAATATGCCGCTTCATGTGGCATGCTCAACTTAGTCCCAGAGTCAACGTGCCAATATCTCAATGACTACTTGGAACGAGGCTTTGGAGATGTATTGAAGGCACTTAGACTAATGCGACTGTCTCCCATTCGTCTAGCTTTCCTGATGTTGACCCAACATCTGCTAACTTGTGCATACATGTTGTATGAAAAAGCCACTTTCCTTAGATTTTGCAGCATGTGCCACTGATAAACAATATTTTCAGCCTCCGAGCATTAGGGACACCTGGCTGGTTTCAACCTTACTAAGAGTGTCTATCATTATTGAGGTAAATCCTCTAATTGCCCCTGTACTCGAGGAACACCTGGCCTGTTAGATCACCATTGCATGCATACGTTGTACTCGATGGCAATGTCAGCTGCGCTTACGTATTTCTTGCAATTGGTTAAAATTACGATACAATAAAATGCAGCACAAGATGAATTCGAATGGATAAAAACATAATAAATCAATCTGATCTGTACGTATACTCTTAAAGAGAAATCTGTGGTGCATTACAAAACATACCCGTGGTTCTAAGGCATATACAAAACTATAACAAAAAGCAACTTTAAGTGATGTACATACAATAATATGATTAATGTATATATAAATTAGATGCTGCTATGCTTTAGAAAAAATGACTTTTACACTATGACTCTCATAGTAACTCTCATATTACCCAATAGTTGACTCGTATTCCTATTCGGCTGGCTGTGCGGTAAGCATCAGTGGAAGTAAACACCACACGAGCACTTGAAGAGCTCGTAAGAACCGTAGGAAGACCGCGATCGTAGAAGTTCAGGAGACCACACACCTTAGCCAGAGAGTTGGCATTGGGGCCCATCCCATCAAAGAACTCAAGGTTGTCTTTCTGGCAGGGAGAACGTCCATTGATACCGTATTGAGACGAATCGATACTGAAGAAAATTCGACTTGAGCTTGAAGTTGCGTCGATGGTCCATTCACACTGAAAGTCGCTCTGCGGATAGCCATTGGGGTAGCCTGGAGTCTCGAAGCTACCACTGCTGCCAGTCAGTCTGCCTCCGCAAGTACTGTCTGACGGATTGTTTTGTATGCTACTCGTGCAGGTACGTCCATTGGAGTCCAGTGTGTATCCACTGCCGCAGGAGCAAGTGTATGAGCCGACTGTGTTTCTGCATTGTTGCTGACAGTCATGTGTTCCTGTAGCACACTCATCTAGAGAACAGAGCAGAGAAAGCATATTATACATGTTGAAAGGAGACCATACCCCTTTAGGTGGTGAAACGATGTAAGGGTTACTTACCTATATCAATGAGAGTGTAGGTAACCCGGACACCAAGTCGACTGACAGGGCGCCGGTTATTCTGGCTCCCAGCAAAGACTACACGGGCCTCATTGGAAGTGGTAGTGATCGCCCCTGGGTTATCAAACCTGCAGAGCTTATGGAGAGATCTGGCACCGTTGCTTATCCCATTAAAGAACTGGATGTAATCGGTTGAGCAGGGTGAGCGTCCATTGATGCCATAGGCAGAAGTATCAATCCTGAACTCAATTGCGTATCCGGGTGCAGCAACATCAACGGTCCACTCGCACTGGAAGTCTCGCTGTGGGTAGTTGTTAGGCCATCCGGGTGTCTGGAAACTGCCCCTCGTAGCGGTGAGTCTCCCTCCACAGGTTGGTGCAGCGGTAGGTCGCGTGGTGGGTGCAGTGGTAGGTCGCGTGGTGGGTGCAGTGGTAGGTCGCGTGGTGGGTGCAGTGGTGGGTATGAGGGTGCAAGACCGTCCATCGGAGCCTAGTCTATATCCACTGTTGCAGGTGCAGCTGTAGGATCCCTGGGTGTTGGTGCACCGGTGTGCACAGCCGTGATTTCCCGAACACTCATTGATATCTGGAAGTGAAAATTTCATAGTTAGGGCCGGATGGGAAGGCAAATCAACATGCTTGCAAAATTCATGCAGAATTGCATATCTATGACATACTGCATACCATTGCATGATCTTCCATTGGTGGCGAGTTGGTAACCACGTCTGCACTCACAACGGTAGGAGGTGCTAGTATCCACGCAGGTATGAGCACATCCCCCATTGCTGTTCAAACACTCATTGACTGCAACTGCAAAGGACGATAATACCACTATCACTACCGTCCGTATTGTGCTGATATAATTCGACTGCCACGTAATGTAAGCTGGTGTTATGTTTGAGGGACGGTATATGCAGATATGCACCTGATGAAGAGCTGCATATCTGGCCACTATATCCATTGTTGCAGGAGCACTGTCCCCTGGTGTTGCACACACCATTCCCAGAACAGACTCTCCCGTTGGAACCAGTTGGACACTGGGGGATCCCAAGTGACGAGATGGAACGACACCTTTGCTCATAGCACATTTTGCTGCTTCCACACTTGACACCGTCCTCTACTAGGCCAGGGCTAATCACATCAGAATTAGGAGGAGTAGTGAAGGCACTGCACGAAAAGGAGAATAAGCAGAGTGATTAATGTATACCCTTCAGAGTACTCTTTGCACACATTGTGTAGTTTGCTGTAGGTATTACTTACACGCACTGCTTCACACTGCGAGAGCTTGGAACATAGACACCAACTTGCAGAATGTAAACAGAGTTGACTGTGTTTTGGAAGTCTCCTTCCTGGCAAAACAGCTGCCCACACATCGCGTCACTGTAAAAAGATAGAGCGATAGTAGTGAATAACGAATAACAGGCCATTTTAGGATTAACTGTATTGTATTAGTGTAGGCTGGTCGAAAATGATAAAATGTTACCTTGAAGCACAGCGAAGAAAGTTTGATCCGTCAGACCCACAGTTTCCAAAGTAGTTTCCCTCAGTGTTGTAGCTCGTAAAGCACTCATCGACTCCCTTGTCTGTTCAAAAAAAGAACACTGATTCAACTCAATGTCCCATGCATGATTCGTTCAATATCCAACAATGGTGCTACGCTTGACACGAGTGAGTAGTTGTGAATTGGAAACTTACTAGTTCTAAAGTGTGTTTGACACTGGGCATTGTATGTCTTGCACTGCCCAGAGTAGCAGTAGGCCTGGCCGTTGTTGCAGGTTGAGCCATCCTGAAGGAATACATCGGCTGGACAATCCGCAGATTGGCCAGTGCACTTCTCAGCAATGTCACACTGGCCGGTTGAACCCCGACAGATTGTGTTGGAGGATTTAAACTGGCATGTGCTGGTGCAGCACTCTCCCTTTGTGCACTGTGCACCAGCGGCCATTCTGCATGTCCTGGCATCACAGCACGGATCATCACACTCCTACAATCAGAGGATAATTGCAAGTCAATGCTTTGTATATCTCCCTCCATAGAAGTTGGCAAAGAATTGCGTGTGTGTTTCAAAGTGATATGGGAGTAATTACTGACCTCTTGACTTCCACAGTCACAGACTTCGTCTCCTTCTCTTATACCATTACCACAAGTGGGGGTAGCGACTGTGTGAGTTGGCTCATTGTAGAGGCAGCTGCCACGACTCGACAAGAACGTATTGAGTTGTGTAGAACTGCAGGAGCTCCAACTTTGTGGTGGTGGGATACTGGATACTGCGGCCATCACACATCGTCTGGATGGGTCGTTGCAACTGCAGGCGGCTGTATAGTGCAAATGTGGCATGGTAAGCAGAGCCTATGCAAGTCCAAATATATAGGATCCTACAATCATAATTATCTTGAATTTCTCTATGGTGTAACAGTTTACTTACAGGTATCATGGTTCATGCTGAGGAGGTGACCAATCTCGTGAGCTAAGGTGCTGCCAGTCGCGTCAGCAGAGACGTGTCTGTCTTGGACAACACCCACCGAGGCCGAGCCACACATTGTGTTGAGGTATGCAATTCCCACTGTATTTCCACTGAAGTCGTTACCCCTACAACAATAGAGTGAAAAGAGATTGCGTATAAAAATAGCCCGAGGCAAGGTCAAAGTGTGTGTATGGTATCTAGTACATGTGAGTGGTTACGACGTCAATGTACTTACGTTATGAGCATGAATGCATCAGAGGGATATTGTGAGCGTATCGAGATGGTGTGAGTTCTGAAATTCTGAAGAGTGGCATCGGGGCTGGTGCTGAATTGGCTGCGGTCCCCAGTGGTCCAGACGATGGAGTAGACCACAACAATGCGGATGTTTATATTCCGATAAATCCGATCAGCTGCGTTGGCCAGAGCTAGGGCCCGGCTGACGGTGTTATCCATGTTGTTTCGGTAGTAGGAATACTGACTCCTGTCACTTATCATGGTGAGTTCAATAATGCGAGTGCCACTGGAGGTCTGTCTGCGAGCCTGCAAGTACGTAAAAACATTCGGTAAGAGTAACCTATTGCTTAGTGTATAAACTAAACCCCAGAAAAATGAGATTGAGAGGTTGACTTACCCTGTCCAGTTCCTCTTCGCTGAGATTCAAGGGGTTTGGTGACACAATATCATGCTCGTGAGTGGTTCCTGAAGAAAAAGACAGGAGCTAACACCCAGCTCACTACAACATGTGCACAAACAAGTTTCTGGTAGGTTGTAAGCTACACTTACCACATTCTCCTTCATCTTCAGAATCATCTGCTTGATAGAGAGCATGGGGCTGTTCCAACTGAAAGAAAAAATTGAGAATGGATAATTCCATGCTATGAACACAGACATGCAAATATATACTTACCGAAGTATCATTTTGATTCAGGGGTTCAATGTTGTATCGTTGAGTTTTGTTGCTCCAGTCACCAAATGAACCCCTGTAGATGGGGAAAGACAAGCAGAGTCAGTTGCTTTGGTCATTCAAGTACTTTTTGCCTTAGGGCAACCTGCCATACTAGTACTTGGGCAGGGTCAACACCTATGGCAAGCTACGGTTTCCCCTACTTGATCTCTTAGGTATCTTGGCTATTATCCAAGACCCATGCATGCTGCTACCAGAACAAGATTGCAGTGCAGGGGAGCGGTGCTAATGCCATTGAGCCTCAAGTGCTTAAGCGACAGTGCAAAAGATGCTCAGTGCTTGTGAAAACCACAGCTGTAAAACTGTTGGGAAACTTGCCATTGTATGATTCTTCCCACTGGCAGTGTGCATTGGCGAGATAGAAATACGTACATGTATGGGCATATGAACTCAGTGTTGCCTCGTAACACAGGATAGGAAGGCTGACTATGCTCTTGAGTGGGCATACACCACTAGGCTTCCTATGTCCATCACAAAGTTGAGGAAGAAGCTGTTTTGTGTGTCTCAAGCAACCAAATCACTGAATGTAGAGATGCCAATAGGAAGCTAGTATCAACACGTGTGTCATCACCCTTCACAAGTAGGAACCAAGTCTGTACAAGAAAGTGTCAACACCATGAATTGAGCTCTAATGGGGAATCCCTAAGTCTTATGTGAGGTAATTTTACCAGACACCACAGAAGAAACCCAGAATGATGATACAAACATAAAACAAGTCATTATGTCAGGCGAGAGTTACGAAAACTAAATTTTACCTTAGTCCTTGGCAGGAGTCCATTGCAACTTGCCACTCAGGATGCTCCAAAACTTCCCCGTGGTAGAAACAGTTTGGTTGATCCTGGAAGAAAAAATGAGGAAACTTCATTTATATGCAGTTGAGGAGAGCAAAATTAGACTCCAATGCATACACAATTGCAGAAGGAAAGGTACAACAGGGAAGCATTGGACTTACGGTGATTTTGATTTCTTTTCCATCTTCGGCGAAGTAAATTGAGGCAAACTGAGGTGCAATCAGCTTACTATAAAGAGAGAGAGAAACATTTATATAAAAGCCTTAGTGCAATATTTTCTGGCCATGTGGGAGTATCCAGAGCCAGTTCCCTTTGAGTGACCTACTACACAAGCACAGCTGGTAGACTGGCCAGATGCCACAGAAGGACACAAACTCAAACACACCAATGACGCACATGGCTAGGAAACCACGCAGGGAGTATCGGATTTCAGCCAAAATAGTCTCCTAGCAACTGCTTGAATAGCGCGCCAAAGTTCCTACATAGCCTGGAAAGACCTTTGGACTGACCTGTTGAGAGTCAATCTGAGAGTGAAAGTTCCTGAATCTTGTGTGATCTTTACATCAAGGCGTTCAGGGTGCACCTGACAAATCAAGAGCAGGAAGCAGGAAATCAAGTGCATTCCCATTTGTGTGCAGTAGCTAATAGTAAAATGCACCGAATTATGTGTCGGAAAAATACACTGGGAAGTTCTTTTGCTCACGCTTTTGCTTGCAACAATTGTATGTTGGCCTGATATTGCACTTGGAACTTACATCTCGAGCATGTCTTGACTTTTGGAGAATTTCTGGTTGAACTGTGATAAAATTTTTCACCATAGCTGCAAGAAAAAAAGAAAAAACGTAAAATGCATCCATATTCAATTCAGGCTACTGCAAGCGTTTACCTTTTGATGTTTGGGATTGTACCGGCACAGTTATTGCAGTGCAGGCTGCGACTAGCGCCGTCAGAAGAAGTAGATATTTGTACACCATCTTGCAAGTGCTATTTTTCGTGACCGAAGTAGCTAGTTCTTTCTTAGGAACTGCGTGAGCTGGTCCGAAGTGACTTGCTTCTTCGCTGAGACCGACTCCCTTTTTATACCGCGAGCGCGCATGTGCGGTCGCCTGCGCGCGCGCCGGCATTTCGCTTGAGAGCGGCACATCCTGCGGAAATGAGCTATCTTCTACGTATTATACGGGGGCGGCGGGCGGCGGCGACATTGGCATGGCCAGGACGTCACATTATGGGATTCATCCCACGTACGTGTGTGTGTGTGTGGAACGCCAAGCCTACAGTAGCTACCGTGAGGTATGATTTGTGCCCATACTAAAATTTTACCACCAGCAGGAAATTAAGTTCATTTAGCATGACCTTCCAGGCAGGGTGTGCTCATACTTCCTAGCTAGTTACAATTTGCTGAAAGTACAGTCTAGACAGCATTTCCTTGTCGGTGCTGCAGACTTGTTAATATTCAACTATTCGAGTCGTTTACATTAACTTCCATGTGCAACTTGTACATGCTTCAATGGAATGTGACAGCCGAGGAGTTGAACATTAAGCAAGTAAGAATTTTCTGAATTAGTGTATAGAGAGTAGTCAATCACACAGAGGTACTAACGTCATACATAATATGCCATGTATTACAATAAGCAGTATGCAACACCAGAAGGGAGCACCATTTACAAGGATACAAGTGAAAGTGAATACCTCATCTTCCTGTTTAACTGGCAATTAGCATAATCTGTTACCAGCAAAATGGAACTGTAAGTATGAGGGCATTAATACTGATACTTCTTCCCCTTACTCAAGCAGTGGTGAATTCCTGATACAATTCCCTTGTGAAATAGTGGGACTCTCTGAGAGGAAATTCGGAGGTTTTCACATAGCATAATACCTAGGTTCTAGTCACCCTATGTGTAACCACATTGCATAACAGGGTAGCCTTATGTCCAAATCCATTAGCAAAAAGAGATTTACATAGTGGTATGTACATAGCAGCATCTATATTATCTAGAGTGTGAAAGCAGGGTACATACATATGTACAGTAAGTCAACATCCAGAGTGTAAAAGCAAGGTATAATTATACATAATAATTATGTATAGTAAGTCAGGCACTTTCCAGTGAATATCTAGAGCAGTACACCAATAAAGTGAATGTTTGCTACAGGAAGGTCAATGAGCTCATCATTTAGTCTACTGAGGAAAAATACCAGTCACCCTGTCTCTGTTTCTTACAACAGGAAACTAACATTGTGAATTCAATTCTGAATTACAACATGTCAATATTATAGAGCTGATTGAGGAGTTTACTACATACTTATACACCCACACTAATGGGGAAAATGCATGTACACCCACACCTCCCAGTTTTCAGGGAATAATATTACGGTTTATGTGTGTGGGTTCCCCCAATTATATTGTTATGGAGCCAAGGTGGGTGGGTGTACAGTGCTCACTTGGAGCAGCTAACCTGAGGTAATCGATAATTTGTGTGTGTGAATGTATTGCAGCAAAAGCAGGGTTTGCTGGCTCTGTCCACTGCTTCTAGGAAATGTGTACGATCCTAGACACGCTGGCTGCTCTATATGTTTGACAAAGTGACTGCAGATTACATGTTTCACATCAACCGCCCACTTCACCCGCTACGACCCACTCATGATGTTGTTATTACAGCCGATGTTTCCATTTTCTCGCCGTAATGCTCAGTATTAGCTTCCTGTACAAGTCGTTAATGATGCTTATAGAAATGAGGCCACGACAAGCACTTGCCCATGTCTTTCATGTTGCACTCTGAATGATGGGGAACAAGTATTTACTCTTATTGCAGTGGCCTTGGTGCTTTAATGATTTTGCATGATTATGCATGCGGTTTTATGCACCACACCCATTTATCAGTACATAAATACCAGCGCAGTTCACATGTGGATGTCAACTTTAATTAGCACCTACCTAACAAATCTGTGGTTGATTACCTAATACTTGTGTTTTCGGTACCATATGTGAATCCAACTACATATATAGCAGCGGAACATATGCCTTCCACTGATACAAGATAATGATCCCACTGATATAAGATATATTTTCCTTACATGGGTTGCACGTCTTGGTGCCAAGCTTCTGTCTGTAAAGAAAGAATGTGTCAATAAAGAAACACACCATGTCTTGCAAATGTGACCACCCCCTGTGCGTTTAGAGATTACCTTATTGCTCTCACCGATGGTTTAATACTCAATTGCATAATATAAACTTACATGCCTAAGCAACGACCTCCATCGCAACTCCATTTTTGTCATTGCCATCAATATTTGCACATGTTCATAGTTATGCTTGCACTATTAAGCACTAGATACTTTCTGTTGCCAAGCATGGGAAAATCAGAATGCTTGCATAACGATGGTTGAGCACTCAGTGCCAATTGCCACTCCTAGGCCGAACGGGTGCCTATGCTGTAATATTATGCAATGATTATGACCCCTTTTAATTAGTTGTTGACCAACCCATAACAGAAAACTATATCATTCCTGCAAGAACATATACTAAAGGGTGAGTTATCTTTATAGAAAGTACAAGTCGTAAATTTTGTGCCCCTGGTAACAGGCCGGATGTTTCTTAGAAGGCACGTGTGTGTGCACATATCTGGGTGCCAAGGTTCTTAGAAAGTGGGCTCTGTTTCCCTGGCCAACGACAAATTCTAAGGAGGTTGCATTTCCTTCAGTCCAAGAAAGCCAAGACCGCAATATGCCTGCACCTGCAGTGCGTGTAGTTGCAAAAAATTAGAACTTGGCTTGGAGAATGTCGTAATTACCATATTAACCCACTACGTACATACGCTAGAGGATTAGGTATTACTTGGTTAGTAAGTCGTATTACTTGGTTAGTAAGTCTATATGGCCACTCTGCTTAATCTAGCATCTCGTACTATGATATGTGCAATTGAGAAAAAAAGCTGTGTTCCCTTACGACTGACACACATGCGTTTTTTCATACGTATTTGTGGTACTTTGCACATAAGCTTCCTCGGACACATTCACATGGGTTAGTAGAGAAATGGTCACATTGATGTGTATTCCACCTAGTGGTCTAGGCCGTCCCAATAAACCGAGCACAAAACTGATGCTGCAAGTTCTGGTAAGTTTTTTTACACCATTTTAAGCTGCTAATCATTACTTTGCAAATTCGATGTGAGAAAAGCTCTAATATTATTATCGCGTCTCCACAAGCAACTTGCTATATACATGGTATAAATTGGCCTCAGTCATAATTACGTATGTCTGCGTTTTCATCTTTATTGGTTATTTTTTCAGACTCTGTGTCACACAGTATTGGAGAAAGTCCAACACTGTTGCTCTACTTTGCACAATGCTAAGTGTACAAGTGAAGTGAGTAACAAGACTCAACAGCTATTGTAGTGAGCCAATCAGGCTGTCTGATGAATGATTGAATTATACCGACAAATAGGAAGTCCATATCTATATTATTCTGGGATAGAGTCCAGCCATTGATCCTTGGCAGAGACACATTCCTACACACACAGTGTTTTTACTACAGCGCTCACAGTGTTTACTGGAGTATGGACCAGGCCCTTCCTTTGCGAGACAGTGCTTGTATATCTGCAGGCAAAGGTGTGTCCCCATATGGTCAGTGTCACATATCCCTACATGTGAACCATCCATTCAGCTCCTTCAAAATAGACTTCAAAAGTAGCCTCCCGCTACACTGCATGTGTACGGATCACGAAGCGTGAGTAAAACTCCATATTTGCTCAGAAGCTGCAGTTTAACTATGTATGCACTCTGTGGTTGCTCTTGTATCTACAGCCTTTCAAATCAGTGGCCAATATGAGTCCATGTAACGAAATCTGATGTGTACACACACAGCATGCATATGGACCTCAGCTCTTAAGTGTATGTATTGCTGAATGGGTATTATACATAGTCTATTCCTACATACGTATATAGACCTTCATTGTATCATCCATACAGAATCTAAATAATTAGCAGCATCTTTATTGAATGCTCTGTAACCAGATACAATGTATTTTGTTGCACTGAGTCTTAAGACAATTGTACGTAGCATAATATAGTCAGCATGCAAATCTGTGGTTAATATTTAATATACTACATCGCTAAAATCGGGGGTTGAACAGATATTGTGTTCTAAGTGCTGTTGTATTAACTTTCCAATCAGTAACTTAAGTGGCTGATGAAGCTAGACCATAGTTTCTGCTTTAGTATTGGCTACTCCCACTAATAGATTAATTTCAATGCCGACCGCCCTTCTTACATTTAATCATTATTGTATGCTTTGAAGTTTGCACCTGCTTTTTTAGCAGAGATATTTGTTGCATCTGAGTATCTACCTGTCATATAAGTAACCTCATTACCACTCCTTCGCCTGAACCATCTAACCCATAGTTATCCCACACGTGCATGCTCAGAAGGGGTAAGTTATCAGTTTGGACTTAAAAAGCACCACATAGACCGACCTACTTTGATAGACTGCTAAAACAAATGGTTACCTCAGCAACGCTTGTGGATGTCAGGAATCGGGGTTACGTAACTCACACAACTGATGCTGAATTACAGTCAGACAATTAATAGATCTTGCTGCCCAGTGAATGACCCTGAGCATGCACAAGAGAATCTATGCACTATTGCTGAATGTACGTATGCTTGTGCAAGGTACGTATGTGTTCCATCGGACTCATTCTGTTTCATAATGGTCTACTCCCATTAATACAATAGCAATCTCTCTTAACCTATCTGTAACCTTTTAAGTTTATGCCTAGTTGTTATAGCCATAGATGTACGTATGTTGATTCTAGGCATCTACTTACGACAAGTGGGAAAGAATGTGTATAAGAACGTGTATGCACTCGCTATTGGCGTAGGCTAACTAAATCATAACAAATCACAGTTGAGTAAAGAAAGATGTAGGGATGGAAATATGATTTTTGTTTTCAGCTGAAGCATAATTCTTTTTGGTTTAATTTACGCCATCCCTACATCCCCCTTCATTATGAAGAAAAGATTTTTCCACTTGTTCCACTTATTTTTTAGCACATGCTCAGTCCCACCCTTTTCGCGGTACAGAGTGGCGAGCAAGGGGCTGCACGCATTAGGGTTCACGCACGCATGGGTGGAGATTTATGCACTGCAGAAGATTTGCAGAGATCATGACACACACACACACTCGCAGTCCATTGTGGGGGCAGGGGTGATGGGGCCGTGGCGTAGTTTGCATTTCTGACACTACTGCGCGTTTCTTGCGCGAGGAGACTAGCGGGCGCATGCGCAACTAACCCAACATTCATTATAATTATGTTGTAAATTGTGAAGGAACGTTTTTTCTTTAGGAGAGGTCTATATATCCAGCTGAAGTCAAAGGTGGAGGCCAAATCAGGGGTATATAGCTAGTATAGCAAGCGGGCATTAGAAGCCAGATATTTGCAGGGTTCGGGTCCAGCATGACAAGGGCAGTTGCAGTCCAACCCCTTTGAACATATACGTAGATAGTATGCACCATCAAGTGAAACACTACAGAGGAGTAGCCGGACAAGGTAAGGAGTAGGCTTACAATAGGAGTTGGTAGTGCAACAAAGGCTAGGGTCAGCAGTGGGATAAGGGTGCAGGAGTGCAGGAAACCACTTCAGAGCCCCACCTGCAACTCCCAGATAATCTTATAATGACTGGGTATATCTTTCCACGACAGTACATGCAAATGTCGGTGACTCCATAATGCTTCCTTGGCATTGACTCGGTAGACAACACAACATCCTTTCACGACACAAGGGTGTGTAAATGACGGATGTGAAACGAAATATACGTGTCATATCCACCGACTTGTAAGCACAGTACAACTGGGAGTAAGCAAATATTTTAAAGGTCGCAGACCAAATAGAAATCAAGTTTGGCAGCAAAGTGGGGATAGCTGTGATTCGATTAAGTCTGAATCAGCATGGATGAAGTCATCCAAAGTGCATTGTCTTAACAACAATGTGATTAATCAATTAATGGTCAGGGTCTTCCAGTGTATATGAAAAGAACTGCTGTACTTATTGTGTCTATGGTACGTAACTCAGCAACTCCAAAAATGGAGATATTTCATCATCATTACATCGGTTTATGTGGTAATATTGTGGGAGTTTTCCCATAGCCTCGACTATTATTCAGTTCCCTTGCATACTTGAATGAATATGTATCCAATTGGCCCACGTGCATACAGCTGTGCCTTTTAAGTAACTTATCTCCCGTTCCAGCAACTCTAACGATGGGAGACCCCCACTCTCCCTAACCTCACATGCATGAGAATTGGATAAGCTGTGTATACACAGATGCCTAATAGGTTAACCTGTTGAGTAAAGGGAGAGGTGGGGAGAGGGGGGTAAGCTCAATAACATCCCCCCTGTCATGTCATCAATATAATTGCAGACCACATTGCCTTATAAGTGTTTACCTACGCATGCTACAGTACTTACTGTGGGACTCTTTAACCTATAGTTATCACTTGCCTTTCTTTTGTGCATCAATGTGCCTGTATAATATGACACCCACACTGTCCTGTACACAGCATTTACTGCCCACACATTATGTCAAACTATATCAAAGGAGTATGGCGTTGTACAAACCACCTTATATGTAACTGCAAACTATGCAAGGTTTCTGTGGTGATGAACAAACCATCCTCCCATTTGCACCTATATTCCCATAATATTGCATTACCACACATTGTACAGTACGCTAACAAAGACAGCAGCAGCTTGGCCTTCTTCCAACTAATCGGATCATGCATGACACAACTTCTCGATGATATTAACGTGGACTCATTTCTCTCCAATATTCTTTTGAGATTCTGTTTCAGTGAAAAGCTCACAGAGTTAAAGGACGTGGAAGTTACGTGAGTTCTTTTGATGTTTATAGGCACATATCCACACTCACTCCCTGTTGGCAGTCAGCACTAAGACCAACGGTTACTACCGTTTTCGCAGTAACTGCAACAAAGCACTCAAAACATGCTTGCGTCACCAAGAAAATTAACGAGACAGGAAAAGGATGTGCAATGTAAACTTGGGTCTCAATTAACAAGCCAGCGGTCACACTTATCACACACACTCGTGTGTACAAATACACGATGCACTTCTTGCCTTGAAAGAGCAATGCTGTGCTACTGCGATCAAATTGGCTTTATTGCTCACAATAAAGTATTGAAGCCACAGCCATGCAAGGATTGCCTCACCTCACACAAACGAATTTTAAACACTCTGGCCTACAGTATCTTCCTCTCTCCCCCATTGGCCTTAAATTAATTATGTGTTCGTGCAATAGGAATTTCATTGCGTCTGTGATATAGCAACATTTGGACCGACAGGAGGTGTTTTATCAACATATAATGAAACCTGCCTCTGTAACATGTGCCTACATGACTTACTTAATGCATTTTGTATAGTTCAAGAGGCCGACAGACAAGTGGTGCCAGGCATTATTGATAGAGAATATTAGCAACCCAGGAACTCAATGAGTGGGTGGTATGTTAGCAAACAGTCCAGCACTAACTGTCCATTTGAAGTCGGCTGTCTGGAATGAAGTTAACTACTAGATAGAAGACACCTTTCTGCCCCTCAAAGGACTCGGTCAGCAGCATGACCTAACAGAACTTCCTTCCCTTTCAAAATACGTATGTATTGAGTACAGACAAGACTCCACTGGCCACTTTCCATACTTGGACACTAACAAATTAGCTCCCTCATTCACGGCAAGTGGGTGTGATGTTGTAAAACATCCCCATATATGCCGGAATACTCTACAGACGATACCATACGTGCGACTAACAAAACAGAGACAATCAGGCAGTGACTGTGGCATGAATGTGTTTGAGCTAGAGCTAGACTTTGGTGCCGGTGTGTTTCGGTCTCATAAACTTCCCTTTTAGATTCCTTGATTACGTAGTCTTTTAAATTGCAGAGGATTTGTGCTTTAGATTGTGCGTTTTCAAACTAAGTGTATGTCCATACGTGTCCCATGCAAAGCATTCTTACAAGTTTTTCATGAAGTGGTTTTTGTATCTGATTATGCCACATGAATTAAGCTCTGATTTGGTAGTTCAGCATTTTACCAGAATTATACTTGACAACCAAATGGTTCTTGTGTCATATCCAACATCTCCTAAAGATTAATGTTCAAGAATGAGAACTGTAAGTTAGCTATTCAGGCTAAAATGGTATATACGTATATACCACTGGTATTTCGGAAGGAAATGAGATGTTGCTGGGAGATCATGGTTGTCTTAGGGTGTGGTGGTAACCTGATCTTTCTTCAGGTTTCCACTGGCATTTTGATTAAATGACCCATTGGTAGTTGCCTCTCTTTGCCTTTTGGCTGTTTCTACTGCAGTAAGTACAATTTCCTGCACAGACAATCCATAGTGTATGACTATGGAAGATATTATAGGAGGTGAATAAGTATCAGAGTTGTGTGTATGTGTTGTGTAGTATAACCATGAATGCCACACAAGAGTAAGTGCATGAAGTCCACAGAGCATGACCTTGAACTTTTGGGTATAAATCTATTATAGAGCCACGTGGGTTGGCCAGACAGGTCATCTTTACAGTGTGTCCCTATTATATTTGCGTGTGTATGAGAGAGTGTACATGTGTACACTATCGTATTACTTTGTACAACACAGTATATGGGGTCAAATGTCTGTGGCAAAGGTTAAACGACGGTAGGTATATGCCATATCATTTGCTATTAAATAACATAGTCTACCTGTCTACCCACTGCCAGATGATACTTGTATCAGTTCCAGTCAGTATAACACTTCTCTAGAATACTTAACAGTCGTATATATATACGGTGGGGTTAGTATGATAGCTGCTATCCATCCGTATAATTATTACACAGTTTGGAGAGGCTCACCATCAGATAACCGTCTAAGGAAGTATCTAAAAATTAAGCCAGATCACAGTAACCCTAAGTGTCTATTTTTGGGTAACGTTGTCCAGTGTAACTTGATGTGCACCATTATGATAATGCCATGGATCAAGTAAGCGCATGAAACCGCAGTTTGTACTGTGTATATACTGTTTGCCAAAAACTATTAAAAATGCCAGGAAATGAGATGTCTTATATACAATAAACACCACAACATTGGGAAGTGATAAAATGAAATGGTAGAAAATATTTTACTGCTATATCCTGCTATGTACATACATACATGTGGAAAAAATTTATTCTTGAAGACTTGCGCCATTTAGTTTTAAACTGTATGATAAGTCACTCTAACTCCTACTCGACTTGCTGGGCGACTGGATATTTCAGTTCCAGTGAACACTACTTTTGCCGTTGAAGAGGTGGTGGTGACATGGGGAAGTTGTCCATTGTATAATCTTTCAAAGCCACAGATCTTTTGGAGCGAGTTTGCATTGCTGTTGGTCCCATCAAAGAACTCAATGTGGTCTGAAGTGCATGGAGGACGTCCGTTGATACCAAATGCTGAATTGTCGATGGTGAACTCTATCCTGGCACCACTGTTTGGTAGTCGAATGATCCATTCACACTGAAAGTTCTCTTGTCTATAAGAATTTGGCCATCCATCTGTCTGGAAGCTGCCACTGGCTCCAGTCAGTTCACCTCCACACAGATTGCCTATAGAAGAGAAATTGGTGATTGGCTCTCTAAGATTGACTGAGAGGTACATATTTATTACATATACTTGTGTTTTGGCTGATCGCATTTAGTATAGGTATATATTAACTCACCTGTTGTAATTGTTGAATCAGTAGGTGCTGCAGGTGCTTGTCTTGGAGAGGAGATTGTCTGGTAAGTGACCCTCACTCCGACCCTCCCGGCAGGACGATTACTGTTGACAGTACCGGCAAACACAACTCTAGCTCTCGAGGAGGATGTTCTGATGACAGGTGGTACAAAGTACTGACAGGTTTTGTGGAGGCTCCTGGATGAGCTGTCCGCTCCATCGAAGAATTCAATGAAGTCTCTGGTACATGGCAGTCGTCCGTTGATGCCATAAGCCGACTCATCTGTTCTGAATTCAATCACAGCATTGTCATCAGGAAGATCAATGATCCATTCGCATTGGAAGTTATTCTGAGGGTAGGCGGTGGGCCACCCTGGTGACTGGAAGCTTCCACTAAAAGCAGTGAGTCGGCCTCCACAGGAACCTTCTGGAGGTTGAGTTGCGTCTTCATTGCATGTCCGCTGGTTGGCATCCAGTGTGAATCCATTGTTGCAAGAACAAGTGTAGGAACCACGAGTGTTGACGCAGACCTGGTCACAGTTGTCCAGTCCTTCCAAGCACTCATTCACATCTGCGAGTTCGGGAGAGAAGCACAGTGATAGTCATCAACCTTTTTATGGCAACATTATGGTGCCTACCATTGCAGGTTCTTCTGTCTCTATCCAAGCGGTATCCTCTGTTACACCAGCAAGTGAATGACCCCAAGAAGTTGAAGCAGTTCTGCTGACACCCTCCATTGTTTGTAGCACACTCGTTAACATCTAGCATAGCAGGTACGTGTATAATATTACTATACTAATGACAGTTCTAATTAGAGAGCGCATTTTGTGAACATACCAGCACAGGTTGATCCATCTGATGCAAGAGTATAGCCGCTATTACAGCTGCATCTGAAGGAGTCTACAGTATCAGTACAGATCTGGCTACATCCTCCATTGTTCTGAAGACATTCGTTCACTGCAGGGGATTGCAAATAAATGAAACACCCTGTGAATTTGAGGAAATGCATACCTGATGGTGTTGTTGGTGCAGATATCGTTCTGTAGTCAACTTTCACCCCAACTCTACTGGCTGAACGATAATTGGTAGTACCCATGAAAACGACTCTAGCTTCAGATCCGGTAGTGGTGATCAGGTCAGTAAAGCCATTGAAACTCATGAGACCACAGATCTTTTCCAAGGAGTTGCCACCATTCCCAGTTCCATCAAAGAACTGGATATTGTCAGTGGCACAAGGAGACCTTCCGTTGATCCCGAAAGCCGATGTGTCAATTCTGAATTCAATACTGGCTCTATTGTTGGGGATGTCGATGATCCATTCACATTGGAAGTTGTCGTTTGGGTAGCTAGTAGGCCATCCTGGGGTCTGGAAGCTGCCACTTGAAGCTGTAAGCCGGCCTCCGCAAAGGGGCTCAGTGGAATCCTCGATGCAGGACCTTCCATCTACCGCCAGTGTGAAACCAGAGTTACAGGAGCATGTGAAGGAGCCAGCAGTGTTCGTGCATCTCTGTTCGCAGTTGTGTGACCCAGCCGTACATTCATTGATATCTGAGAGAAAAAGATACAGATAAAGGTCAGGCAAGGTACAGTGTAATAAGTGATTTGTGTATAGACCCCGTGATTACGTACAGCCCTTGCCTGATTAGTTTATTCCAACATTTCATGTCATCTGAATCAGGCTTGGGATATGAGTGGTATGCCCAGGTTTTTGTGTATCTAGAGTTAATATACCTACCATTGCATGTTCTTCTGTCACTTGACAGAGTGTAACCAGCATTGCATGAACAGGTGAAGGACCCAATAGTGTTGGTGCACCGTTGAGCGCAGTTGTCAGAACTCTCAGAGCACTCGTTAATATCTACGAATGTACAGAAAAGGGTACGTATATGAACGTGTACATACAGTGTTGCAACAAGTGAGCTTACCGTTGCAAGATAGTCTATTGCTTGCCAGCCTGTATCCAGCATTGCATGAACATGTGAATGATCCAGGCGTGTTTGTGCACCGCTGGGCACAGTTGTCTGTACCTCTTGTGCACTCATCGATATCTACAATTAAATGACTTCTTTCAATGTATGTTCTTAAGGCTAGAGTGCGTGCGTGCGTCCACTGACCTGTGCAACGTCTCTGATCACTGTTAAGTGTGAATCCACTGTTGCATGTGCATCTGAAGCTACCCTGAGTGTTTTGGCAGTTGTGCTCACAACCTCCATTGTTCGAACTGCATTCATTCACGTCTACAAGGAATTAAAATTGATGCAAGCTCATGAGATCCCCAAATGGCTGGGTCTCTGGTGTACGAGTTGATTCATAATGCCGTATGAATAGAACTGTACCCACCCAGACACACATTGCCCTTTACCACAAACCACATCCGCAATTTTTTTGTATCCTAATGCATTTATCTAAGGTTGATATGCCATCCAGACACCTGCCCCCACATCAACACACAAGTCTTAAAACCGCATCCGCCACCATGTTTTGTTCGAGCATCCTTACCTGTGCAAGACCGTCTGTCTGAGCCAAGAATGTATCCTGCCCTGCAACTGCACTCAAACGATTGGGCTGTATCTCTACAGATATGGGCACAGCCTCCATTGTTCACCTGGCACTCATCTAGATAAAGTGGCCAATATAGCATTTTTTTAAAAAGCGTGCCACTAATTGCTTGTGAGGGACATACTTTGTTGTGAAGACACTGTTCTGTAGGTCACTCTCACACCCACACGGCTTGCAGGGCGTGCTAGATTACTTCCAGTGAACACTACTTTAGCCCTTGAAGAAGAAGTAACAATGGGCTGTAGTCCTTGAGGGTAAAATGTAGCGAGACCACAAATCTTTTCAAGAGATGCTGAATTGCTGCTGGTTCCGTCAAAGAATTCGATGTGGTCAGTGGCACATGGAGGATTTCCATTTGGGTTTCCGTTAATCCCAAAAACCGAATCGTCAATAGTGAACTCAACTGTGCCCCTTGTGTTTGGTATTTCAATGGTCCACTCACACTGAACCCCTTCAGCTGGGTAGCTGTTAGGATATCCAGGGGAGGAGAAGCTTCCACTGGCTGTTGTAAGGCTACCACCACAGTCAATGTTACAAGTGCGTCCATCGCTCGCTAGAGTGAATCCACTGTTACATGTGCAGAAGAAAGACTCTTCAGTGTCCACACATCCTTGGTCACAGTTGTGCTGGCCATTCTCACATTCATTGACGGCTGTATGGGAGTAGAATGACACCTTATGCATGAACAATATCCAAAACTGTTCCTGGATTCTAAAACCATTTGGCCAATGCAGAAATAATATTTTCCAATTGAGCCAAAAATGTGCTGCAAAGTGCAATGAATATTTGGAAAATTAGCACCTTATGTATCAGTCTGTCCAAAACAGTTCCTGCTGAGTTCTCTACTGTTTGGCCCATGCAAAGCAGCGAATAATCTCAACCAGTGACCATTTACATATCAGTGTATGATGTCATTAGGCTGATGACCAAGTGCATGCAGAAGTTTTTGAAGAACTCACAAGGTCCACCTGATGAAGTCTGACAGGCTGATCCAATGAATCCAACGTTGCAACTGCACTGCCCGCGATTATTACACACCTATGAAATATCACACAAAGTGTTGTGATTATCATCTGCAAAAGAGTGTCACAGGTTGTCTTACCCCTCTTCCTGAGCAGACCCTCCCATTTGCCTGTGGACAGGCTCTTATCCCTGGAATAGCTGAAACTTGTGTGCATCTTTGATTGTAGCACAACTGAAGAGAGAGAACCACAGCAAATGAAATTTTTGCACTCTTGCTGCAGTATGCTGTCCTTACCTGGCCATCCCTGCACTTGGTGCCATCTTTAACAAGGCCAGGGCTGAGCATATCGGTACCAGGTTGAGTAGTAAATCCCCTGTAAGGACATTATAAACATCATTGAAACCTGCTTCACTGTTGGAGTGTGCTATGTTGTGCTGTTAATGGCTTACTGGCAATCCCTCCGCTGTCCATTTGCAAAGACACCCACTGTCACAATTGTGACTCGAACTCCGCTAACTCTTTGCTGGTAGTTCCCAGGATCGCAGAAAAGCTGTCCACACATGGCATCACTGTAAAAAGGCAAAGATGAGTGCTTGTGCAATCCTACACTCTTATCATACAAGGTAATGTGTATGTGTTACTTGGTGAACAGGCTATCTAGTAAGGCAAGCTTATGTCTTTGCCTGTAATTTACTGGATTGTATATGGAAAGTCTCATGCTGAAATGCCTAGGGTATATGCATGAATAATAGACCCTGCCCACACAGTGTCCTAAAAAAGTAACATGACAACAAGGTTAAGGTCCTTATAAGTTACGACTGAATGCCATCTTGGATCAACTCGTTGTAGTGTGCATGTACATACCTCTGCGAACAAGGGATGTAGTCCGTTGTCGTGTGACCGCAGTTGCCAAAAACGCTCCCTTGGGGATTGTAGGATGTGTAGCACTGACTGACACCCATGTCTGCATTTAAAGTAGACCAATGATTAATATATGCTGGGTGTAGCATCAGTCAACAAATTGACCAAGGCGGGGGTTATTGATTTGGAATCAGACAGAGGGGGAGAGATATCAATCGGTACAAATTGTTGTTGTCGTCCACAACACATTTTGTAGCCCCCTCCACACGTGTGTCCAATTAAGACTGGACGGGGTGTCATTAGGACCACAGATTGGGTAATGAAGGGAGGGACACTAGATTTGAAAGATCTGGCAGGGGATCCAACTTTTTAAGTGTATAGGAACCACAAAGGGATATAAGGTAGAAGATCCAAATTTTAAGTGCACCGAAACCACATCATTGAAATGAGGGAAAGTATTGATCATCATGGCGGGCGTGGGTCAGAGTAGGACGGTTTCCAAATATGTGTAAGTGTGGGGCAATTTGTCTGCCCACCATGTGCATATATACGGTCTCCATGGTATTAATTTAAAGTGGTAGTAGAGGTAATTGAGGCACAATTCAGAGTTGGTAAACACTGTGGGTGGCTTGGAGTGTTTTGGTCGTGCTTAATGACAAGGATGCTGTGTTTACCCACAAGAAGCATTAGTTATTCTCATGTCGTACTTCTCACCTGTGCCAAAGTGGTACTGGCATTGATCATCGTAAGTTTGACACACTCCAGAGAAGCAGTAAGCCTGGTTGCTGTTGCATGTTGTTCCATCCTGTCGGTAGACATCTACCGGGCACTCTGAAGACTCTCCACTGCAGTACTCTTCAATGTCACACTGTCCGCTGGAGCTGCGACACCTTGTGCCATATGCCTTGTACTGGCAAGTGCTACTGCAGCATTCTCCTTTGGTGCACTGGGCCCCATCCCTCGGGCGACAAGTTCTGGGATTGCAGCAAGGATCGTCACATTCCTACAGAAAACAGCACAAGTATTATATGCTGAGACAGAGAGAACAAGAAATAGAATGGGAAGACGGTGAAAAGGTCCATACCTGGGGACTTCCGCAATCACAAACTTCATCTCCTTCCCGGATGCCATTCCCACAGACAGGGTCGCCGATGGTTGTAAGTGGCTCGTTCTCCAGACATCGTCCGAGGTTGTTTGAGGCTCTTGTGAGGGACGAACGGAGCTGACTTGTACTACAGGAACTCCACAGCTCAGGAGCCGGAAACCCTGAAACTGCGGCCATCACACACCTACCAGAGCGATCACTGCAACTGCACCCACCTGCAGAAACACCAGACAAAGTGCATATGACATGCATGAATCACGAGGTTTTAAGGCAAGTGTGTGCACAAGATGGGATTAAAGCGGTGCCAGACTTACTGGTGTCGTGTTGGAGGTTAAGTACGTGACCCAGTTCGTGGGCAAAAGTGCTGGCAGCCGAGCTGGTAGAGCGTCTAGCGTCCTGCACAACTCCTACTGATGCACTGCCACACATTGTGTTGAGGTAGGCAATTCCAACTGTGCTCCCGGACAGATCTTGACCACTAATGTGATATAGTTATGTGTGTGTATGATATGGAAGCGTTGAATACATGCCAAACTTGCATACATACCGCACCTAGGGAGTTTATTAGTGGTGTGGACAAACACATACAAGCAAAAGTTAGTACAACCCCTCTCTCTTCTTCCTCTCCCTCACTTTTACATACGTTATAAGCATCATGGCATCATGAGGCTGGGAAACCGATCTCTTGAAGCTTCTCATTCTGTCCAGTAGAGTTTGTGGGTCTGCAACTATACTGATCCTGTCACCACTTGTCCACGTGATGACATGAACAACAACAACTCGAACACGCAGTCGTCTGTAGAGCTGCAAAGATGGCAAGTATAGTACATAAAGTATGCTTTATGATCTATTCAAGGACAGACCATACATATCATCAAAGCGAGGGCATAGTATCTTTTAGCCAACTAAGTATGTACTTACCAGGTCAGCTGCATTGACCACATCAAGTGCATTCTGAACCGTAGCGGAAAGATTTCTTCCATGATAATTGTACTGTTAAAAGACACATTTAGTGTGAAGTTAGGAGTCAATTGATGTGAAAAACTTACTTGTCTGTTATCATTGATTATTGCCATCTCTACAATATAGTCTCCTGTGGGTGACTGGCGACGAACCTACAGCCAAGATATTGTAGATAAACCACAGAGTAAAGCGATGATAGGGTGTTAATGGATCACATTACCCTCTCAATGTCGCTCGCGAGACTCTCCAAATGGTCGGCGATTGTGTCAGAATCACTGTGGTCTTCGGTGCCTGTTTGACAGATCAAATTTAATGACTGTCACACATTTGGCAGGGTGTGAGATGTGACATAATGACCCTTACCCTATACTTCTCAAACTGGGTTATCAGATACCATCCACACTTGCAAGTATAATGTTGCATGCATATGAGATCATCACCTACCACAAGTTCCGCTGTCTTCTTCGGTTTGGGTTTCAGCTATCAGCTTGTGTGGCTCATCCAGCTGAGAAGGAATATTCGATGACTCACTAATGACAATCACATTTCCAGCTTGCTTACTGTGGTGGCTGATTTTGATACAGGTGCAAGGCGGAAATACTCGGATTTGTTGTTCATGTCCCCAAAGAAACCCCTGTACGTGTGAAGAAAGGCATATATGGTTTCATTGAGAGTAAACTCTTGTGTAGGGGGTGAAGTAATACATGATCTGGTGGACACCTAGCCATTTAGGGCAAATACAAGGGCTTGTCACATGTTGTCATTAACATTACAATTGCCTGCATGGGTAAGCTTCCCATGCAGGCAGCTTGTCTGTGCAGACTTACTTGAGTCCACCACAGGTATTCATAACGACAACCCATTTCGGATGTTCCTCCACTTTTCCTTGGTAGTAACAGTTGGCCTTACCCTGAGGTAATGTATGTACCAAGGAATCATAATAATGCTTTCTCAGATCTGTGTGTCTCACTCACAGTAGTGATGATTTCATTTCCATCTTCATCGTATGAAATTGAGGTGAAGTTTGGAGCCAATTTACTAAAGACACAAAACCTCTTTAGAGCAATGTATCATTATAGTATAGCTACTTACTCATTCAGTAATAAGTGAAGGGTAAGGTTCTCATTTTCTTTCTTGATTCTGACAATCATTTCTTTATCGGCCTCTTCTGTGTTCGCCTGAAAGTTGGATGATCAGATCATAGACTGTGATGTCCAGAATATTGTTTAACTTACACTTCGTACATGTCGACTCCCTTGAATAACTTCGGGGAAGACTGTCTCAAAGTCACTCACTGTTTCTGCGATGGAGTAAAACAAATAAGTATGCAGAATGTTTCAGAATAAGTAAGTAGGTTATGTGTACCTGCATGCAGAAGGATATCCTTTGCAGCACACACTGCTAACAGCAGTAGAAATCCTGAAAGGATGATGCTTCGCATTGCCAGAATATTTCCACAGCTGTAGCTCGCTATCCTGTTGCAGTGCGTGTCCACACAGTTTCGTGGGGAACGTGCTCCCCGCGCCGATATTTATACCCAGGAGGCGCGCGCATAGGGGAGTGCGTTGCCCGGGTGGGCGTGTATAGCGATCGAGCGTACACGGACATGCGGTTTTGTGACATTATGTTTCCCTTCCTCATAGGGTAAAGTATCCCACGTTCTATGTACGGGGGTTGGTAGCTATGTAGTCATACACACGAGCAATATAATTCCCTTGTAAGGTCATATTGCTACTTCATTCAATAGCGCCATACGTTCGCGCTCTCCCGCCATTTGATCTACCTGGTCAGGTCTTCTATATAGGTACAAAAGGCGCCAGCAGCTTTGATATCATGCAATACGCCGACGCGTTATTTACACATGCCACCTAGTATCCTATATCCTATATTGAGCGCGCATCCTCAATATGTAACACCCCACGTACCCCTACTCATCCTGTTTGCAGCGAATTATGTGCTATTTCAAAGATTGTTTGTTGTCCTGAACTGCAGAAGGAACCGCTTTCGCAAAGGAATGCAACCAAGGAAAACGGTTGCACAACGGCTTCGCGGGTTTCTCTCGCGCCGTATAATTAATACTGCGCATGCGCGTACCCAACGGAACTTGCGCGCTCCTGGCCTCTGGGCTATTCTTAGTTTATTGTCCCAACATTGCCTTGCAACTACAGTAGGTTAGGCAGGCAAGATTGTCTCTCCCTTTCCATCTCTCTCTGTTTTTTGGCACCGACGAGTTGCCTGCTATGGAGAGAGAGGTATTACTCAAACCCTTTAGCTATTATTATACCACACCTTTAGAATGGTATGTGAGCTCCTTCTCATTGTATGATGCACTTTAGGAGTTCTGTAGTCAAACATTCCACAGAAAATGTTTTAGTGATATGCTGCCTAGATAGGACATGCAACACACTTACTATCGATGCATACTTCCAATACCTGGTGCCTTTGAAATTACTGTTTGCAAACTGATGTAGGGGGGAAACTGCATCTATGTGCACCTTAGTGTGTACAATGTTCACTGTTACACAGAAATGGTTTCGTCTTCCCTTTGTTCTTTAATGTTATTGGTTGTGTAACAGATTGAGCAACACATTGCTGACACGCATGTGGTCAAGTTTTAACACTGCAAATTCTGTGGTACACAACACGCAGTGATGGATCTCCTTACTGCTAGCCTGTGCACATCCTTCTTAGGTGACCTGTACATACCCTCCTTAAGTAACAAAACCATCTGTGCATGCACTGAAGATTAGAAACTGCTCTTGGTGCTCTTAGGTCGCTTTGAAAACCTGAGACTAGCTGACAATTGCAGGATAGAGTACATATACTCCACAAGCTGTTACCGGCTGCTTCTTCATGTACAACCAAACATAGTCATGCTGCAGGACACCCATAAGCATGTGATGTGCATGGAGTAATACAGCAGCAAGAATAGCTTCCAAGGGGTGGTGTTCAGCTCAGCAGTGTCAGCATGTAAAAGTGTCCATGATCTCATGCTCTACTAAGGTCATTTTGTCTTTGCAAACAAGTATTTTATAGTATTTTCTCTTCATGGTGACTAGCAGAGGTTTGTCAGCAGGTTATTCACCAGACCTAGTGTCATTAAGGCATTTGCTTTGGGTGGACACACCAGAGTTTGTGTTTTATAGAGTCTTGCCTACTGAGCTGCTAGAGATCAGCCTGCATTGTCCAACCCAGGTGTTCTATAGTCCCACTGAGGAGTCATTACCCTTGGCGCGCATGCGCAGCGAGAGTACGGTAGTTCGGTCCGTGTGTCTCAATATCTCACTTCTCCATCCAATGTTCGTTCGTCTCACAAACGATACGACTTACTTAACGGCCAATGAAGGTCAGAAATGCCGAGCGGTTTCTCTGAAACTGCTCCGTTGCAAAGCTAGAGCGCGAAAAAGCCAATATGCAAACACACAACGGACGGGATGGCTTACTGATCGATCCGCGTGCTCTGCGTACCTCGGAGGCACCAGAAGATGCGGGCGTGTATCGCCTCTCGCATGCTATCTAGTAGTGTGGTTAGCCACGAGTAACAGCAACTAAACCCAGCCCATCAATTAGTGGTACGGCGCATGCGTTTACTTACGCGTGAGCGTCACAATGCGCCGAGGGTTGTGCTTTTCATTGCTTAGCGTTTGCCTTGCTTTGACAGCCTGTGATTGATGTATTACTGTACGGCTTGGCTTGCTTCGTTTTATTGACCTCAAGTTGTATAAGTTCGAAGGTCCTTACAATTTACATTATCTCAAGAACCGATTGTTGTGAATAGTGTTAAAATTCTATAACATATTTCAGCAGATGTAGATTATAATCCTATACACATTTTGGACATGATACGCTGTATAATGTTAGAAAAAAGTATGATATAGATGAATGGAGTGGTGTGCAGAAGATTTTGACATAAAGACTAACAAACACTTTACACAGAAAGCACAATTATAATGTGATGTGTGGCTGAGTGAATTCACATGAAAACATTACACAATCTCATAGTAGACCTTGATTCCGACCCGACTCGCTGGCCGGTTTTTGTTATATGAACCGGTGAACTCGATGGTTGCCTCTGTGCTCGTGATCTCTATTGGGTCTGTGGGCGGACGTAAGAAGCACAACTTGTCTCCAACTGGGTTCGATTGACTAGAACCCCTGAAGAACTGAAGATAGTCTGTGCAAGGATTGCGCCCATTGATCCCAAAGTGATTACTGTCGACGGTAAACCTGATCAACCGTGAGGAGTCCGGGCGGGTTATCCTCCAGACGCATCTGAAGTTTGCTTGTGGGTAGCGCTCAGGCCAGTCTGGAGTCTGGAAGCTTCCTGATGGTCCAGTCAGTTCTCCTCCACAGTCGATGTTACATGTCCTGTGGTCACTGTCCAGTGAGTACCCAGGTCTGCAGGAGCAGTAGTGCGAAGTTGGTGTGTCAATACATTCGTGTTGGCAGCCGCCGTTCTTTTTGAGGCATTCATTGACAGGAGGTGGAGTGGTTATTGCTTCTGTTGTGGGATTTGTTGTTGGAGGGTTAGTAGTGGCAGTGGTTGTGGGAGGGTTAGTAGATCCAGTGGTTGTGGGAGGGTTAGTAGATCCAGTGGTTGTTGGAGGGTTAGTAGTGGCAGTGGTTGTGGGAGGGTTAGTAGATCCAGTGGTTGTGGGAGGGTTAGTAGATCCAGTGGTTGTTGGAGGGTTAGTAGATCCAGTGGTTGTTGGAGGGTTAGTAGATCCAGTGGTTGTGGGAGGGTTAGTAGATCCAGTGGTTGTTGGAGGGTTAGTAGATCCAGTGGTTGTTGGAGGGTTAGTAGATCCAGTGGTTGTTGGAGGGTTAGTAGATCCAGTGGTTGTTGGAGGGTTAGTAGTGGCAGTGGTTGTTGGAGGGGGAGCTGTTATTGGCATCACAGTGGTATAGTGGACCATTACACCAACTCGACTGACGGGACGAGTGCTCTGTCGTGATCCCCTGAATATCACTTTCCCTTCAGATGTGGATGTCACGAGTGGATCTGACGGCCGGTCAAACTTGCACAGTTTGCCCATGGAGGCAGCATCATTGCCCATGCCATCAAAGAATTGGACATGGTCTGTGGGGCAGGGACTGCGTCCGTTTATTCCGTAGGCAGTGTCATCGATGGTGAACAGAATGGTGGCCTCGGGATTTAGGAGGCTGACCATCCACTCGCACTCAAAGTTTTCATTAGGGTATCGAACCGGCCAATTGGGGGTGGAAAAACTTCCACTAGCGTCAGTGAACACACCCCCACACTTGCAGGTACGCCCATCAGAAGTAAGCATGTAGCCGTCCGGACATGTGCAGACGAACGAGCCATCGGTATTGGAGCAGCCTGACTGGCAGTTGTGCCTCCTTTCAGAGCACTCATCGATATCTGTAGAAAGGGAATAAATAATGGGTCTACACTAGCAATGTGAACAGATATGATGTAGGAAAGCTATATTTGTGGTTGGAACTTTGCGTAAAACTATCAAATATTAGGACTGAAAGGACCGTGCACACGTACTACTAAGGGTCACTGAAACCTACCTGTACAGGTTGTTTGATCAGAGTCAAGTCTGAAGCCCTCCCTGCAGTGGCAGGAGACTTCCAAGGCTCCCTCCTGTGAGCAGACATGATCACATCCTCCGTTGTCTACGCTACATGATCGTGCGGCTTCTGTAATTGGAGGGTTAGTAGTGGCAGTGGTTGTGGGAGGGTTAGTAGTGGCAGTGGTTGTGGGAGGGTTAGTAGTGGCAGTGGTTGTTGGAGGGTTAGTAGATCCAGTGGTTGTTGGAGTGTTTG